CATAAAAAATAAACTTGTGAGGTCCTGAATCAATGTATCAACAGTGTTAAGGAAAGAAAAGTTTCTCTTTTCTAATTCCAAAATGCCAAACTGCATTCTTGTCTTTACTGTCAGCCAAGATACCTAGAACTTTCTCCATTTTTTGTTTAGTAAAGTAGGACCAAAAAAAACTGTACTGCAAACACAATCTTCACCTTGTCAGAGCTGGCATGTAGATAGTATCCATCCTTTGAATTTTTCACTGCAGATCATGATAAATGATTAAGCAGCAATAGCTGAGGGCTTAATCTGACCCTACTAGGGACAAATGAATTTCATGATTTGACTTTCAAAACTGCAGAGTCCACTGTCAACCTTAAGAAAAAGAGCTCTACTTTTTATACAAAGGTAAGGATGGGAAAGCCCAGTAAAACCCAATTTTGTATGGTTTTCCAACTGAAGTATTTTCTTAAAGATAGGCTATTCTCTTACCCTTACTGATTTTTAAAATTTCTTTGTCTTACGATGTCTTTTTATATTCTTAATTATATTTGATAGTCAGGGATCTCAAGAGTAGTGAATAGACAAATCACTACCAAATGCTGCTGGGAAAGAGATTTATGACTATGCTGAATATTTTCATTCTTGAAACTCTTGGCAGCTAGAGATACTTCACACATGATATCAATTAGGAGACAGAATAAATAGCCTCACAGAATGCATGCTGGCTCCTGTGGATAGCATGCTGGCAAAAAACCCAGAAGATTAGCTCAAAATTAGTAAATGTGACCTGGCAAGAGCCTCTGAATTGAGTATATTTTACAACTTTAACACACATCACAGGACATAACAGCAGCAGTTTCACAACTAATGAACACACACAAAAGAAGCTTGGAAAGGCTTAAAACAGAAAGATATATTATTATCTTCTATGCTCATCAAGGGAGAATAGATTATTTCTACTTATTCAGATGAACATAAAGCTATTCATCACCAAACATAACAGAGAATATTTTTGTTATCAAAATTAACAATGATGCAGTTTCAACAAATTCCATAACTCAGAACACTAGTAATATCTATAAGGAAAACATGATAAATAACAATATTCATCTCTAATAAATATCGATAAAATAGTAAGTTCATCTTCTAAACAAGAAAGAGAAATGAAAATATGGAATAAGAAAATAAGTCTTCCTTACAATAAAGTGAAGTTAACTGATTGCTGGTATTGCTTTATGATTTATTAATGTCCACCTTATTACAAAAAAGATTTAAAGGGGCTAGTAACAATTTGTTAGAAAGACAACATGTTGAATTCTTATTTCATTTGCACCATCTGAGTTGAAGTTTATTAAAAGTGAATTTTGATAAAAATATTATCTTGATTTTAGATTTCATTACAGAGAGAGAAGGAGTGGGGAGAGAGATAATGATGAGAAACAGAAATGCCTTTAACCAAGCAATTATTGAAGTATCAAAATAAGAAATAGGGTTTATTAAATAAAATACCTAGACATGACACCTCAATTCCTTTAAAGGACAAATGGAATGGGAGAGGCAAGGTAGTTCTACAGGCTAAATATTCATATCCCCCTCCAAATCTGTAAGTTGAAATCCTAATCCCCATGATGATGGTATTGTGAGATGGGATCTCTGGGAGGTGATTAGATCACAAGGGTAGAATTTTCGTGATTGGGATTAGTGTTCTTTTATAAAGAGACTCCAGGGAGTTATCTTGCGTCTTCTGCCATGTGGGGTTAGTGAAAAGATAGCTGTCTCTGAGAACCAGGACCATCTACGAACCAGGAAGTTTGCCCACACCAAACACTGAATATGCCCATACCTTGACCTTGGACTTCCCATACTCTAGAACTCTTAGAAACAAATATTTGTTGTTAATAAGCCATTCGATTTATATTATTTTTGGTATAGCAGCCCAGATGGCCTCAGACAGTAATACAGTATAAACGTGGGCTCAAAATTATTATTATAAGTAGTAGTTTGGATTGGGGAAATGGATTTGAGGCTAAATATTTAACAATCCATAATGGCCTCTGTTAAGTATAGAAACAAGTACCAAGAGCTTCTTTAGCGGTGAAGGAATAAGATACTATTTGAAGAAATTAATTAAGACACTATCATTATGTGCGTTTTAAGAGAAAGATTTAAAAGAAAAAAAAACCTACTTAAAACCTTCCTGATGGCATTGAGTATATCCAATTATGTACTAATTTTTCAGAAGCAAGTTGAACATTTAAAGAGTACCTATAGGGGCACAAATTATGCAAGGTGTTTTTCTTTTTTTAGATATAATTTATTTTTAGAGAGGGAAAGGGAGGGAGAAAGAGAGGAAGAAAAATATCAATGTGTGGTTGCCTCTTGAGCACCCCCTACTAGGGACCTGGCCCGAAACCCAGGCTTGTGCCCTGACTGGGAATTGATCTGACAATCCTTCAGTTCCCAGGCTGGAATTCAAAACACTGAGCCACACCAGCCAGGGCTATGCTAATTCTTTTTTGTGTGTGTACTATCATTTTATCCTGGTTGGAAGAAACAGAGACTCAGGAGCTTAAGAAAAGTAGACAAAGGATACACCAATAAATGTTCTGTATCAGGTACAGTCCTATGATCACCTAAAAAAATATGCTTTGTACTACACTAGAGGGCATTTTTCATATCTCTGGTAATGACTACAATGAGTATCTTAAATTCATAGAATGAGAAAAAACAGTACTACACTCTGAGAGTCTCTTATGAGTTAATGAGCATCGATAGGCAATAGAGCCTTAGAGTAACAGCAGAGGGCACATGGAGAATGCAATGAAATTACAGACCCAATACGACAAAATTACTATTTGTCAGGGGGGAAAGTTAATTTCAGAAATAAATTCATTTCTGTTTGGAAAAAATAATGAAAAGGAAATACTCCAAAATGGTGACAGTGGTCACCACCTTTTGGAGGTACTTATATGAAAATCTTTCTTCTCTCAAAACTTCTTTTAAAACTCATTTAAAAATCAGGTTTAATGAAAATAACAATTATTAAAATGATACTTCCCAATTCTAGATGAATGGAATTGAAGTAATAAAATACAAGTCCCTGGTTATGTGTAGTATTTTCCCTGCTGCAATAGTCCCCTGCCATGAACCCTAAAAACTTTGCTGATGATTGAGCAATGAAAACCCCACCTTTTGTACACATCAGTTCCTGAACAGTGATGACACCTGCTCAAATAAGTGTTTACCTAAAAGAGCATTAGTTTACTTATACCCAGACCCTGAGTAAACACCTAACCTACATTTTCCTCATTGATAAAATGTTATTATAATCCCTACATTGCAGAGTTGAAGAACATAAATGAAAATTCTTACTCTGCCCAGGGACATGAGGTTACAAACACTCAATACAGTTACTGCTTGCATTATTAAACTATATTCATTATTATCAAATCCATAATAGTTACCATAAGCTAAAAGAATTCTACTTAGTCTCATTCTATAAAAAACTGATACAGAGATCTGATCAGATAACTAGGGAGGAGTTGAGAGGGGCCACCGCAGGGGGTTGCCTGAGGTAAAGATAAGCAGTCTAGGATGAGATTAGCTGAGAAGCTGAATACCTCTGAAGCACATGGAATTATGGGCCAGAAGATTTAAAGTAAAAGGAGGGCAGAGTCTGGCTCTCTGGCCCTCTTCCTGGAGGACTGTGGTGCAGCTGCCTGCATTTCCCAAAAGACGGTATTTGGGATGGGAGAAGAAACTCTGGGCACAGCCCAGGATCTGGCTGACCTGGCAGGGATGGCAGGGTTCTTCTTGGAGTGTCCTAGAGGGAACAGGCTCTGAGGCAGGAGCCTGCCATTCTTCCAAAATTGTGTAGCTTTTGTATCTTTTGTTTTAGTTTGTATACTAATCCTATAGAAATAAGATAATTAAAAACTACCTAGGGAATGATAGGGAAACGGAAGAACTAAAGAGTTTAGTCTTAATTGAGAGGGTTAAGTGATAAAGGGTATAACTAAAGAGTTACAGTTTAGCCTTAATTCATAGACTTAAGTAATTAAAGCTGTAACTAAAATGTTAAAGATTTTAGCCTTAATAGACTTAAGTGACTAATGCATGTGGAATGCTGTTATTCTAAAACTGTGTAGCTTTTGAATAAAGACTCCTTTTCTGTATCACCAAACCTTCGCCTTCAGAATTTTGCCTGGAAGGTGGCAGTGGGCAGCAGGCAGCAGGACCCCACCTGCTATTCAGTAACAAAACTACAATTGTGTGTACTCTGTCATAAACCGAAGTATAATCAATGAATTATCATTAATGTAATTACCACATTTCTCCAAAACAGTAAAGATTCTCTGCTGTGCTGTAATTTTGGGAATTGTGTAAAGCTCAGAAAATGATGTAGAAGTTGAGTTCTAACACTGATCCATCCAATCTGATCACTAGGAAAAAAAGCTTCCTTTGCTACTCTTCAGTAATTTTTGCTGGCTATAAAACTACCACTAGCTGATGCCAATTTCCTCAACTCATCTGCTTGTAAAGCCATCTAATCACAAAACTAAGAAGCAAACATATTCAAGAGTTCTCCTATAAGCAAAACATCCCTTTCTATATTAACAATACTAGAATGGCTATATAACCATTTAATTCAAGGCTATCCTCTACAAAGGATGTCTAAAGTACAAGGTCTTGCTCCAGTCCTTCAACCAAAAATCTGGGGATGAATATTCAAATGTTCAGTTACTTGAATCTAATCTTACATTCTTGTAACTAATATACCTTATAAATAATTTGTTAGAAATCATACACACCAATTGAAAAAAAAGCCTACTTCAGGAGGGTGGGGGAAGTAGGAGAGGGTGAAGAGAGGATAAATGGTGATGAAAAGAGACTTGACTTGGGGTGATGAACACACAATACAATATACAGATGATCTATTATATAGAAATGTACCCCTGAAACCTATATAATTCTATTAACCAATGTCATCTCAATAAATTTAAAAAAAAAAAGCCTACCTCAGCGTGGCAGAGTGCATGAAGACCTTGCAACACCAAGGCTGCTGGAGTAGCTTGATCAGGCTTGGTGCATTCATTCAACACCTGGGAAATAGCTGCCAACATATCTGCACCATGCTGATACGGCCTACAGGAAGTGACAGTTTAGAAAGATTACAGCCAGTGAGCTGCAGTAGCACTCCCATGTCTTTTACTTGAACCAAAAGCATTAATGCTTTCCTTTACCCTTGTGCCTACTAAATATTGACCCTCATATAATAACACCATGTATTTTTCTTCAAAGATTTTCATCATCATCATTTTTGCTCAAAGTTAAGGCTCATTTTTGGTACAGAAATATTATCTCAAGACATTACATAGTATTCTCCCTAGTGTATAAGTTATCTAAATTGACAAAATTTCAAGTGTATAATGGTGACAGGAACTTACTGAGATTACCAGTAAGAAGAGAGCTAGCCCTACCTGGAAGCTGCTCAGGTATCCGACACTGGCTACAGAAGTGGGTATTGGATAGCAGATGATTTGTTATAGTAATGATACTAGCTAAAGTGGCTATACCTATCACAATGCTGATGAAGATGATGATAAAAAATAATAATATGAATTATAACCGATTAAACACCTATCCAGGCACTGTGCTGAATTCACTCACACTTCCTGCTCCCACCTTCCTCTCCTCTCAATGCTACACATATTGTGTTATCCCCAGGATGCTTTCAACTGCATAAGGAAATGCTCAGGCTCATCCTCTGCATTCCTTGTAACCCTGCAGTGATATAATGATACTTTCCCCCAGTTAACAAAATATCAATTGATGAAGTTGCCTGATTGGATTCTATGCTTTCACTGTCTGACAAATGGAAGTCATTTTCCAAAATGGGAAAATTTGACAGATCTTGAGGTGGTAATTGAAAGGAACACTGAATAAGTTCTTAGTAGACCCTGATCTGGTCTGATATTTATCCTCTCCTGAGTGGAGCTTTATGAACGCAAAATTAAAGTGTCAGATAATAATCTCTCACCTCTAAAACCTTTTCCATGCCAATACCTTAAGAGTATCCAAACTCTCAGGTGTTGTGTTCCATGTGTGGAACTTTGAAGCTGAGGTCATTTTTGTGTTGCCAAAAGGCTGAAGCTTAGAAAAGAGGCAGAACTGCTGAGGCTTAGATATATTCTGATCCGAGATTTCACATGAAGCAGGAACCATCCATGCTATCAGCACCTGGGCCAACCCATTCATCACACAGCTTTACAAAGGACCATTCACAGGGTCAGTACTGAAAATTGGGATGATGGCCCCAGGAATTCTACAGTGCAGTGGCTAAACATATGGAATGGCAGGAATATAGTTCATTTTGAATGTATCAAATCTATTTCCTCCCTAAATATTTTTACCTTACTCTCTTAAAGAAAAAAATCTGGCCAACTGGAGCTTTGCTTAGTGTTATTGAAGTCTTGTCCCCTCCTCCCTGTTTATCAATTCATCCACTGGAACAGCCAAGTCATCTCCCTAATAGCTGCATGTTTTTCTAAACCCTATAGTATACATGGAAATTCAAGATCATGTCCTTCCTTGTAATAATTCCTAATAATTAATTCCATGCAATGAGTCACAAATAAGGCCTTCTCAATTAAAACTAGATAAAAATAGTTTGATTTCCCTCTACAAAGAATGTGTAAAGTAGGTTTGCTTCACTCCTTCAGACAAAAATCTCTAGGAATGAATATTCAATCTTTGACAAAACTGCTTAGGTTTCAATGATTTATATATAGAAAAATAAAAAATATATATCATGTTTTATTATAATACTAAACTGCCATCCCAAAAAAGATATAAATATCCTATAAAGCTAGATCAGCTATAAGACTAGGCCTGAAATGAAGACATGCTTGCTTCCCAAAGTTATTTTCCAATATTACTAAATTTTACCATCAGAAAACTTAAATTGAAAACTAAAATATTACTCAAATATTTTCTGCCTATCTTTCCTAGAGGCCTGGTTGTAAATTAAAAAATAAGTGCAAAATAATATTATCGTGGTATACATTCCCAAGAGTTAAGCACATCTTACCTTTGCTTACATATGTCTCTGATCGATGCTGCTTTAGCAATCAGTTTTTCCCATTGGACTTCCTTGCCCACAGACAGAGAGGGCGTATCGGACATGGCCATGAACCGCTGCAGTTCAGGATAGACACGATCCTACCAAGACAATTTTACAAAAAAGGTAATTTCCCAATTTGAGTTGAATAATCATTATCTACTTTTATGCAGCATTTTCATCTTCAAATTTCCTATCTGCATTGCAAATTATAATGTATTTCTTCTAATCAGCAGAGAAAAAGGCTGTTGTGATTGCTAGGGATTTCTTACATTCCCATGTACTGTTCATTTCATAAAACAAGAAAAAAGTGGCTAAATCAAACCCTAATGACAAAGGCTCTAATCACTTATAATCATATTTCTATTACTTTTCCACACAAATGGAAAACTAAATTTCAGAATTAAAGAAATAAGATTATTTTCTGTTCTCAGTTTCTCTCTGAGAGTCAATCACAACTGACTGCATTACTGATCAAAGGTGTCATACTAAATCAAAATTTCTCAAATGCAATCACTGATGTCACACAGTACTATCATATCAAAGTCCTATTACACATAATGATGCAAATTAGTTTCCTTCACTGAAAGAAACATGTTTAATACTCATACAAGTATATGTCGAGCTTACCTGATTTTCCCACAAAGATGTCAATAAGCGCAAAGTGACAGCCCTTAGTTGTGGAGTGGTTCCAAGAAGTTGGATTACCCGTAGAATTTGTCCTACGCACACCTAGGAAATATTTTAAAAATTTAGGTTTCATAGATGTAAATTTAGATTATCTCAAAGTTACCATGAGATTTTTAAAACCCCTTATTATGAAATAAAGACCTAAATGGAAGCTTACTATAGTCTTACCCATCTTCTCAAAGGTTGGGGATAGCCTTAGGAAGGGTTATCTACCAATCCTGAGAACATAAAGACCTTACTTCAGATAATTGCCAATGGAAAAACTTGGCTATTGATTTAAAAGAATTTCTTACATATTTTAATAAACACTTTTGGCTCAACAAGGGAAGTAGTGATCACAGCAAAATTAAGGACTCAAAATTTCAAATAATTACAACCAAAATTAAATGTATTACTCATGCCTTACTTTCTTTTTGCCTTGAAGTAAACTGGTTAATATACAAACCTTGTGAACACCAAGTGCAGGTAAAGTATATAAGATATCATTGTATAATACAGGTTCCAGTGGTCTTCCCAATTTGAACATCAAAACTGGAATCAAATTTGGTACCTAAAGTGAATTTAAAAAAGATATTAACTATGCCTTATGAAAGAAATCAATCTATAAAGCAATTATTATTTCATTTTTATTCAGAAGAGTAAAATAAATATGAATTATATATAAATTGGAAGACTAAAAACTAAGTTAGCAATGTGTTGTTGATGGTAATTTTATAGTACCACTAATATTCTCTTTTAAAATTAGCTTCCAAACACCAATCAAAATAATGGTTTTTCCTAAAATAACTATGATATGATATATTTACTCTCAGCAACACAAAGCTAGTTAAGATATATACTGCCCCAAAGAAATTCACAGTTCTAATGAGCAGCTAATACTTAGGATATATAAATAATAAAATAATTTCACATATTGAAATACTCAGTTATGTTATTCCAATATGAAATGCTTAAAATCAGTTGTAAGGTGGGAAGAGTTAATAAGTAAGGTCCCATTTCAATCACTATGCATAACACAATGAAATGAGAAAAGCAATTCATCTGTGGATCAGAAGACTTAATAATGTTAAAATAGTAATATTTCCCAAGTAGATCTATAGACTCAATGCAATCCCTACCAAAACACCATCTGTCTTCTTTGGCAAAATTAAGGAAGTAATTGTAAAATTCATATTGAACAGCAAAGGATCCCAAATAGCCAAAATAATCTTTTTTATTTTTTATTACTGTTTTAATGTGAGGATTTATTTTCCTTTTTATTTTATTGTTTGTTATTACAGTTGTCCCAATATTTCCCCTTTTGGCCCCCTCCAACCACCCCACCCCTCATTCCCACTGTCAATCCTGATCTCACCTATAAGCTGAATCTAATCAACAAAACTAACTAGCCAAAATAATCTTTTAAAAAAAAATAGAACAAAGTCTGATAACTCAAACTTCCCAATTTCAAATTTTACTATAAAGCTACAGTATGGTACTGGCATAAAAATAAAAATATAGATCAATGAAAAAAAAAACTCAAGAGTCCAGAAATAAATCCTTTTATTTATGTTCAATTGATTTTTGACAAAAAATGCAAAGAAAATACACTAGGGAAAGAATAGCCTCTTTGAAAACTGGTACTGGGTTTCAACAACCAGATATTCACATGCAAAAGAATAAATTTGGATCCCTTCCTCACACCACATGTGAATGTGAATTCAAAATAGATTTTAGAGCAAAATGTAAGATGTAAAAGTATACTTAAGAAAAATATGGTTGACCCTAAAAGAACACACCAACTTCCCACACAGTCGCAAATTCACATGCAACTACTATAGGAGTAAATTTTTGTGACCTTAGGTTAGTCAAAGCCTTTTTCAGATGTGACAACAAAATCACAAGCAAGAAAAGGAAAACATAGATTTCATTAAGTTAAAAATATTTGTCTGTCAAAAGGTACTATAAAGAAAAATAAAAAGGCAATCCATAAAATGGAAGAAAACATTTGCAAATCATGTATTTAATAAGGAGTTTGTATCCAGAATATATACAGAATTCTTGTAATTTAAGAATAAAAGGAAAAATAACCTCATTTTAAAATAGCAAAGAAGCGAACAGATATTTCTCTGAAGATAAATGGCCAATAAAGAGAAAAAAAGATACTAAACCATCATTAGCCTTGACATTATTAAAAATCAAGACCAGAATGATATACAACTTCACACCCAATAGAATGCTTATACTAAAAACAGACAATAGCAAGTGTTGGTAAGCATGTGGAGAAATTGAGTCCTTCATATACTGCTAGTGGAAATGTAAAATGGTGCAAACCCTTCAGAAAACAGTCTGAGAGTTTCTCAAATGGTTAAAGAGAATTAACATATGATCTAGCATTTCTATTCCTAGATATCTACCAAAAAGAAAGAAAAACATGAATCCACACAAAACTTGAATATAAATGTTCATGCAGCATAATTCAGAACAGTCAAATAGCAGAAACAATCCAAAATAGCCATCAACTGATCAATGGATAAATAAAATGTAGTGTAGCCATACAATGTAATGTTATTTGACCATAAAAATGAAAAGGAATCAGTATGGATAAAACTTGAAAATGTTATGTGAAGTGAAATAAGCCAGTCACAAAAGACCAATTATTGTATGATTCCATTTATACAAAATGTGCAGAATAGGCAAATCTATTTACAAATATCTAATTATAAAAGGTAATTGCTTAGGATTAGGAATCTGCAGGAAAAATGAGGTGGGATTGCTAATGGGTACAAGGTTTCTTCGGGGGAGTGATAAAAATGTTCTCAAATTATTTTTAATTATGTTTGCACAATTCTGTAAATATACTGAAAGTCATTGTAGGGCACACTTTGATCTAATTATATGGCACATAAATTACATCTTAAACAATTTTTATTTAACATTTTTTTTATCCTCATCTGAGGACATTTTTTCGTTGCTTTTAGAGAGAGTGAGAAGAGGGAGAGAAGAGAGACAGAGAGAGAGAAACATCGATGTGAGAGCAAAACATCAATTGGTTACATTTTTGTATGCACTCCAATCAGGGCTCAAACCCACCCAACCTTGTTATGTGCCCTGACTAGGGCTCAAACTTGTGACCTTTCAGTCTACAGGATGACTATCCAACCACCTATAAGCCACACTGACCATAGCAAAGCTACTTTTATTTTAAAAATTCCGTTCAAAATTATTGAATGAATACCTACTATGAGCAAGAAACTACTTGAATGCAAAAAAAAATTATTTTTCTTAGAGTGCATTTCAGTTTTGTTGCTCAGAAACTTTTTGAATTTCTTTATATGCTGTAATCTTAGAAATCCTATTCCTTCTTAATTTAGAAGGCATTTACTTCAATTTCAAAGAGGAAAAAATCTTAACTCTACCAACAAAAATATAACAGTTCAAAATTAATTCATTAACAAGCCTAACCATGTTATGTGAGGGCAGTATTTAGAACTATGTATATAATAGCTAAAGTCTCACAACAAATAGCCAGAATTTATGATTTTTTAACAATTGCTGGGGCTCTATTACAACAGAAGTTTCATCATCCTCACTTTGAGCAAATGAAAGGAGACAAATTTTTGAATTGGCTTCTTATTCCCCATTTAAATTAAAAATAAAGGGTTATCTTAGATTGTACATATCTCAGTGAATTACCTCTTCTGGGAAGATGTCTACCCAGACACTTTGACAGATACTTAGTTCTGGGAAGGGCAATCAGTAGTACACTTAGTGGCATTTTATAAAATAATTTATTTAGTCCTATGGCTTTCAAACAACTTTTAATTATACTGTCAGGAAAGAAATAAAGTACTCTATTTATGCTAAAGAGTGCAGTTCCTTTATGAGCCTTGGAACTAAAGAGGTATGTAAGGGTATCTATTTTCTCTGGCAAGATCAGAAATGAAAACACAAAATGGGAAATTTTTACAGTAAATCATCTTAGGCTTAAAGTCAAAGAACATGTATAAAGGACCCCTGGACAAAGACAACGGGGTGGCGGGGGGGATGGAATGTGGGAGGTGGGGTTGGGTAGGGCAGGGGAGAGTAATGGGGGAAAATGGGGACAACTGTAACTGAATAATAACAAAAAAGAGCACATTTTTAATCCAGAAATATAATAACCTTAAGCTTAGTATAGTTTTTGAATATATTATAATGCTAATTAAATCCACAGGTCAATGGGAAAAACACAAAATAGGTGTTACTTCATTAGGAAAAGACATATAGATACATAGATGTGGAAAATTTTTTTTCATAAAGTATGGACTATTGTTTTCCTAGTGAAGTAATAGGTATATATATACTTGAGAGGTCATTATGATCTCTTGATTCCTCTGCATTTAGGCTTTCTACACTACAGAGGTAGAAAAGAGAATAAATGTTCTGATTTTATTTTAAATTTAAAATAAGCTGGTAAGTGCCCTATAATTTACTGAATCAAGACCTTTTGGGTTTCTGCCCTGGCTGGTGTGGCTCAGTGGGGTTAGTGTCAGCCTGCAAACTGAAAGGGTCGCCTGTTCAATTTCAGCCAGGCACATGCCTGGGTTTCGGGCCAGGACCCCTGTTGGGGTGTGCGAGAGGCACCAAACGATGTTTCTCTCCCTCTCTTTCTCCCTCCTTTCCCTCTCTCTAAAAAATAAATACAATCTTTTAAAAAAAAGACCTTTTGGGTTTCTTAAAACTCAACACTTTCTTCTCTCCTTTAGAACGTAAGTCCTTGATAGACAAACTGATTTAGGGTGATGGGATTATTAAGTAGCCCCCATTTCACAGATTTCTCAGTAAAAATATTGACAGCCAAAGGGGGAAAAGCATGATACATTCAAAGTACTGAAAGAAAAAAAAGCCAGCCAAAAACTATATTAAGCAAAACATTCTTTCAATAATGAAGGAAAGATATAGACTTTTCCAGATACTCAAAAGATGAGGTAGTTTATCTATTAGACCTGCCTTATAAGAAATACTAACAGGAGTCCTTGAAGTTGAAAGGAAAGGATCCTAGAAAGCAACATAAAAGCATATGAAAGCATAAAGCTCACTGATAAAGGTAGCTATATAAAAAAATACAAAATACTGTAATACTGGTACATAACTCTTACTTTTGGCATAGAAGTTCAAAGACAAAAGTTTAAGTATAACTATAAAAATATGTTAACAGATAAACAATATAAAAAGATATAAGCTGTGACATCAAGACCATAATATGTCGGGGGGATAAAAATGTAGATATTTTGTATGGAATTAGAGCTGCTATCAGCCTAAAATAGACTGTTATAACTATAAGATGTTTTCTATAAGCCCCAGGGTAACCACATGAAAATACCTATAGAGGATACTCAAAAGATAATGTGTAAGTTAACAAAGCATGTCACTGACAAAAAAATAAAATAAAAGAATGAAACACAACATAAGACAGCAACAGAAAAACAAAGGGATAAAAAAAGCTGTAAGACAGACAGAAAACAATTAACAACATGGCAATAGTAAGTCCTTCCCTATCTGCAATTAGGTTAAATGTAAACGGAGTAA